GTTTTGTAGAATGAATAAGTTATTAACTAGATTTTCTTCTTAATATTGTGGAAACTTAAATAAATGTTCGACAAATCGCATATTGAACAATTTGCAATTAGCAAACTCCTGTAGTGCTTCGTTTTAGAACATTACCGTATAACGATAGCATGCTGCTCTATTACTGGAATATTTTTTCTCTATTTTCAGTACTACACTCAAAGAACCTTCTTTTAAATATAAAACAAATTTTAGTATTATTATTATTATTTATTTAACTCGTTTTTTACCCCAATGGGTTAACAAATTTAGTATTATATATTAGAAGGTTAACAAAATAAAGAAAAATTATATTTTTCGTTTCAAACGTTCATTTTGGCTTTCTAAAAATACATTAAATTTTTTTTTAATTTACTCCATTTGAATGTCATCAAAATTCATAAAAGAATTTGAAAAAAATTTCACTGTGGCGCGGCGCCGTAAAGAAAAAATAATTTTTCTTTAATTTTTATCATTGTAAATATATAGAGTTATTGAAAAACTTCCTTGCATAAAATTTGAAACGTTCATAAATAAAAATATTTAATAAAAAATAAACAATTATTAATTTTCTAGGCAGAATATTTTTTTTTGAAATAGAAAGAGATTACAAATATAAAAGTAGAATTTAAAAAGCCTGCTGTTTACGTATTGGAAATGGATTAGTAAGCACAGTCAAAATATTATATTTTTCAAGAGATGGTGCGACAAATACAATATCGATTATTGAAAGTTTTTTTTTACTGCAAAAAAATTATTTGCAAGCAATAATAGTCAGGGTAACAGTTTCAACAGATGTGTAACAGTTTCTTTCATTGCTCGGAAAACATCTTAAAAAGTCAGATTTTTTAATTTATGATTCTATTGTGTAAAGGAAGAGAAATACTATAATTCTGCATTATTAAATTTTCAAAATTTTGATTTGTTCTAAAGTTTTTTCGAATTTTTAAAATCTTCCGTTTTCGTATTTTTAAAATTTTTTGGGGTAATAATCAATACAGTTAAAAATGCATAAATATCGACATAAATCGATTTAAATCGAGAAAATTGAAAAATAAGAAGAAACAAGCGATCCTATATTATATTGTTTTTATAATTTAATCTCGCATCGTCTCAGATAATTGAGATCTCGAATTCTTATGTATAAAATGAGCATTTATTATGTCAAAGTAAAAACTTCAACATTTATGGTTAAACAAATGCTAAATGCCTACATACATCAAGTTTTAGTTTTAATTATGTATATGACATTTTTTTATCTACAATTTCTTACAGGGTGTACAAAATTTCCAAAAAATCTAGTTTCGAACTTGGTCATTTTTTCAGTTTAGTAGTTAAAATATTGTGACTGGAATTTACTTTTCTTAGGGTAAGTCCGGGGGAGATGGCCAACTAAAATTTTGTACAGAATTTGTTATTAAATGTCACTTATTATCGATATTCTTACTTCATTTAATGACAGAATGTAAATGAAAGCAAAAAATATGTCGAAAAAATTTTTGTATGAAATATAAACCTTCTTCATTATTTTGCCTAGTTCTGAAAACAGGTGTAAATGAAAAAGCCAAAATTAATTTGAAGCATTGGCCATCTTACATGTACATTTCTGGAGAGATGGCCAATTGCATTTTTTTAAAAAACATTAATTTTTAAATTATTAATATTGCAATATTTAAAATATTTTTTTGTTTTTTTAATGTATATTGTTTACTGTTTAATTATCAATAAAAATTAATATAAAAACTGCTTCCGTTTTATTTTTACGTACATTTAAATAAAAGTATGGCCATCTATCCTGGACTTACCCTACAGGAAAAATGTGAGAATTGAATAGTAGTACTTAGGAGATTTGAGAAATGTTTTTAGTGGAACAATTTTTCTAAATATCAACTATTTAACGTCATTTTATCACATCTAACCACACTTTCTTTGTCTCATTCTAAAGTGTTTATTTATTTATTACACTTGTCTATGCATATAATAATGCGTACAAGAGGAATACGTTCGTATCGGAATATAATAAAAGATTAATATAAAGCAATATACAAACACAACAAAAAACATACCAACAATCTACACAACTTAACGCTCAGCTAAAATTTTTTTGATTAAAGAAACAATGTTTTTTAAAGATTTAAAGTCATTCGAAGACAAAATATTTGTCAAAAATTCCAAATTGTTGTCATACTTTAACGCAGGGAAATAAGCCATTGATGGATCCTTCAAGGCCAAAGATCTAAGTCTTTCAAAGCACAACCTTGGAAACCTAGAAGGGTCCATCTCCGCGATCCTGTTAAGCCAAGAAAGAACCAACTTAAAAATTGAAAACGAGATATTTATTGAACCTGTTTTTAGTCTAACAGCGTAGTTCGGTGTACATATGGGTAAGGATAAGAGTCTCTTATAAAACGAAAGTTGAACACCTTCCAAATGGTCCAAAAAATTAAGGCCCCACACTTGGATAGAATAAAAAAGAATACTCAATGACAAGCTATGAAACATTATTACATAAGAATCCCAGGAGTTAGCACCACACGAGTGAATCACCCTCAAAACCGAACCCGCAGCAACATTCGCAGCACTAATCGCTTTTTTAGCAGCAGGCAAAAAAGAGCAACTACCCGAGAAAACAACACCCAAATATGTGAATTCATCAAAGACCTCAATTCGTTTATCTGAAAACTTAAAAGACTTAAATTTTTTTGCCGATGAATTTCCAGATTTACTAAAAATGACAATTTTTGTTTTTCAACGTTAACAGTAAGATTATTTTGGGAACAATAAAGATGCAAAGCTTTGAGTTTTTTGTTTAATTCGTTAGAAGTATCAGAAAGTAAAATAAAATCGTTAGCATAACCCAACATCAAGATTTCCTCCATACTATTAGTTGAAAGACCCCTACAACCTTGCATCACAAAGAAGTCTTTGACGTCAGAGACAAACAACAGAAACTCCAGGGGACTAAGAACTTCGCCTTGAAGTACACCCTGTGTGACACGAACTTCTTGGGTATAGACCCTTCGCTGCACAGTGGGAAAAAAATGACCCTCTGTGGACAAAAATCTACCAACAACACAAATCTTAACCGATTTTAATATTTTTTTTTAAATACTCGGAAAAGTTTTTCCTGTAACGCACAACTGCGATAAATTTGATTTATTTCAAACTAACCTTAAAAATGATACCTATATATAAAATTACGTTATTAGGATGGTTTAAAAAATAAAAAAAATGATTAATTTTGATATAGCAGAGAGTATTGTGAACCTTTTTTGATCACTGAATACGAATTTGACATTAAAATTGCAAAATTTTAAAATTCAAAATGGCGGATGCAATATGTCAGGCAATGTTTTATAAAAGTCACCAAATTCACTCGAAAGTTGTTATTCAGGGGTTCTTAAGGTCGCTGGTTATGAATCTGAAGTCTGATTTCAAAAATTCAAAATGGCGGATCCAATATGGCGGATTAAAAAATTAAAAACTCATTGAATTTGCATGAAAGTTGTTACTTGGAGGTTTTTGGGGTCGATGATTACGAATCTGAAGTCAAATTTCAAAAATTAAAAATGGCGGATCCAATATGGCGGATGAGAAAATCAAAAACTAATTAGATTAGCTTGAAAGTTGTTACCTGGGGGTTTTTGGGGTCGCTGATTACGAATCTGAAGTCTAATTTGAAAAATTCAAAATAGTATTAGATTAGAGTATTATATTATTATTAGATTATTAGTATTAGATCTGCCATCTCAAATTTAAAAAATTCGACTACAGATTTGTAATCAGCGAACCCAAAAACCTCCAAGTAACAACTTTCAAGCAAATTCAATGAGTTTTTAATTTTTATACCGCTATATTGGATTCGCCATTTCGAATTTTTGAAATCAGACTTCAGATTCGTAACCAGCGACCTTAAGAACCCCTGAATAACAACTTTCGAGTGAATTTAGTGACTTTTATAAAACATTGCCTGCCATATTGCATCCGCCATTATGAATTTAAAAATTTTGCAATTTTAATGTCAAATTCGCATTTAGTGATCAAAAAGGGTTCACAATACTCTCTGCTATATCAAAATTAATCATTTTTTTTATTTTTTAAACCATCCTAATAACGTAATTTTATATATAGGTATCATTTCTAAGGTTAGATGGAAAGGCCCCTTTATAATCGACGAAGACGCCATATACTACTGTGTTCGGTCTACTTAAATGAATTCGAATGATAGATAATAAGGTAAAAATGTGATTAACACAACTTCTTACCTTTCTGAACCCGTTTTGCGATTCAGGAATCAGGTTAAACTCCGAGGTCCAACGTACAAGCCGATCACATAAAATTTGAGTAAAGCATTCTAAAGTGGTAATATGCGGGAAATAACCCACACAGCACCCAAAATTCCCTGAAACTTGACAGAACCTCACATGGCGAGGTTAGAAAACTTTAGTGGCAAGGTTCATACAAGTTTGTGTCGATGTTTAAATGTCCACATGAAAAGAATATTCACACGAAACTTTGAGGAAATATTACACATAAATATTCACGCGCAATGTTCAGTCAATGTTGTGTCAATATTGAAATTACATTTTCGCCTAGTTATAAAAATTTCATTTACTAATATAATAAGTATAGGTGAATACTGACACAACATTGACTGAACATTGCGCGTGACTATTTATGTGTAATATTTCCTCAAAGTTTCGTGTGATTATTCTTTTCATGTGGACATTTAAACATCGACACAAACTTGTATGAACCTTGCCACTAAAGTTTTCTAACCTCGCCGTGTGAGGTTCTGTCAAGTTTCAGGGAATTTTGGGTGCTGTGTGGGAATAATCTCTATGAACTGCCCACACTGGGCAGTTCATAGGGGTCAAATTGAGTTCCCTTAAGCCCAATTAAAACCCGAATTATGTTATCTTTGGGTTTTAACCGATGTTTCACTGTGATTATACTACTATTAGTCAATATTTGCCACTCACCATATGTTCAACTGACACGTGATCCTGATGACCCGACCCCCGGTTTCCTTGTAATATCGCTTCAAGACTCTCGATATATTCAATAGCATTTCTCAAAATTTCCACTTTAGGTAAACGTTGATTAGGATTATTGCTGGTCCTCCTTTTTAACACCTCAAAAGCTTCATTCACCTGGAACAGGAAACATTCAAATTAGTAAAAAATGAACAAAAGCAAAAAATTATCTCAGTAAGAATTTCTGAAACATTCCACCTAAAAGTAAAAAAATTTATTTTTTGTTGAAATGTTATTTTTCTTACAGTATTCTATTTGTTTTGAACCATAGTTTTAATGATAATTTTTGTGCAAAAATATTGATTTTGATTACAAAAAACATATATTTATAAACAAATAGTGTAAACTCATTAGTGTACAATTTTTTACAATATAATTTGACTGACCCCCCTCCCCCCATCTCCGAGATAGCAAGAGGTGTCACTTTTCAAAAGGTACGAGTGACCCATGTTTACAGCTTAAGGGTTAAAATTGGGCTCATTATAAAATCTGTTTTTAAAATTCTACTAAATGTAAATTCGATAATTTTTAATTTGACACCACAAACATTCCGTCAAGTCTAATATGAAGGCAATATTGAATATTGGAGTAGAAAGAAGGAAGCTAGGAATAAAAGTATAAGAAAAAGAAAAGAGTGACTAACCTTTCGAAGTCGTCGTCTTTCTCGAAGAGTTGCTGCCTTTCGTCGATCAACCGTGACAGTCTTTTTTTTGCAAGCCTTACACGCCCAGAGGAGACATCTTCGTGGTCCATGGGGTGAATCTACATCCAAAACATGAGGATGTGGCACATGTTCCACTGTTTCGCTTTCGGTCGTTTCCTCACCATCTGCTGAGGGTGATCCCAAATCTGCAGATGCATCCGCCGACACTATCGACGACGTATCGTCCGAGTCAGGTATATAACGAGAATGTGATCTATAAACGTTTAATTTTTTTTCCATATAAAAAAGTTTTTACTTCTGAGCATTTTTTATAGCGTACGATTTCAATGGCTCTTAAAAATAGCTATTCAATTTTTAACGAGCCTCTTTAATCGTCACTTTTTATTTATTATCAACTAAAAATGAAATCATATAGTCATTTTTAGAGTATTTAAGTGAATGTCAATTCAGTTTTTTCACTTTGTCAAAATAATAATTTTCTGCAACATTAACTTATAAAATTAAATTTTACACATGAAAAACTTTGTGTAAAGTGCCTCTTTTTATAACAGTGCGTAAAGTGATAATGTTGCCAATATTGTTGCAAATTTAGGTAAAAGAGGGGGTGTATCATAAATAACTATTTAATATTTTTTTGAAAAATAAATTCTGAAACGTGACATTTACAATTTGAAAGCATTTTAAACTATAAATTCTGAAAATAATATATATTTATCACTATTTTTGTAAAAAAAATTTGGTCGGCATTAGATATAAAATGGTACCCGCGTTGAATACAGAATCAGAACTCGTTTAAGAGTTTTTAAGAGCATTTGAACCTTCGTGACGTCACAAATCATGGCGCATGACACGCAAACTTCTCAGGTATGTGAAAAGCACAATTTTGAATATTTTTTAAAAAAACCTTTTGGAAAATATTCAGAACAACACAGACTCTGTCTGTTATGTGCGAAAAATTCAAAATTTTGCGTTTAAAACGTTTTTTAAACAATGCCTACATATAAGCAATTCGTGTATTTTTCCTTACTTGTGACAACCAACTTAAACATTGTTTAAAAAACGTTTTATACGCAAAATTTTGAATTTTCCGCACATAACAGACAGAGTCTATGTTATTCTGAACATTTTCCAAAAGGTTTTTTAAAAAATATTCAAAATTGTGCTTTTCACATACCTGAGAAGTTTGCGTGTCATGCGCCATGATTTGTGACGTCACGAAGGTTCAAATGCTCTTAAAGAAATTTTAACACATTAAATTAATTAAATATAAATATTATACACATACATTTTTTATAATGTTGAATAATTTTTACTTAATTTTGCCCCACTCCGGTGCAGACCCTGATCACTAACTTTACATTTGAAAAATATGCCTTTTACTTTGAATGAATTAATTAAGGTAATGAAACAAATAAGCGACTCATTCCAATAATATAATAATCCACTATCGTTTATGCCATATGTTGTGTACACGAGCAAGAGCAATTATTGTAAATTATGTGTAATTATGTCCTAGCATTTCTATGCTGTTATACATGCAGGTATATAGACGATCTATTGGAATGTTTCCAGATGTTCTCTGCGCGCTAACAAATTCTGCAACACGATTTGTGAGAATCACAAAAAAGAGACAAAAAGCAAAAATATAATATGACCTATAAAAAGAAACGTTCCGCACAGAATAGGGTGAAAACATACTACATGAAGGGGCAATAAAGCCATCTGCACATTTACAACAGAAATTCATTCCTTCACACTCGCTGTAGATTCGATTGAACAATTAATGTGTCAACTTCACTACAAATCAGGATACTCAACATACCGAATCAACTTTTTACTTGGATTTCAGTTAATTACAAAAAATACGTTTCTTTTGTAACCCGTAAGTAGAATAATTTTCAATTTAAAAAAATAAATAAAAAAAGTCTTTAGTACTACACCCAGAAAAAAGATTTCTTTGAAATAAAAAGATCTTTTCTTTTAAATCACTTTTTAAAATATATATAACTTCGTCAATTTTGCTCCGATCGGCTTGAAATTTTTACACAATATTCTTGAAATATTAAACATTAATTTAAAAAAATAAAAAAAGTAAGTTAAGTTAGTTAAAAAAAATTGTGTTGTGGGTTAGTACCACATCCCAGTGACTCTTATTAAACATTTTTTTTATTACAAAATTTATTTTATATACTTCAAACTTTTTATACCTAAAAGAAGGGGTTTTAAACTATTAAAAAAATGTTATTCCCTATTTATTATGGATTATCTTGCTGCCATGGCCACCTGAAAATACTCTTACTTGTGATTGGCGGACACAATATCTCTAATTCAGGTCATCAAAAAATAAAACTTTTAATATTTTCTTGAACAGTAAACTTGTCGCTATCGTCGGAACTAAGATCAACTATTTTCGATGAAAAAAACAAAATGGCGGACTTTTTTAATTTTTAACCTTGTTTTTTTAACTTAAATTGTTTAAAAAAATGGTTAAATATTAATAAAAAATTATGAATGAAGTTCCGACGATAGCGGTATACGATTTTTGACCCACAAAAAATTCAACATTTTCGGAAACAAGGACCCAAAAAAAATAACCGTGTCTGGCCGTTTTGCTAAATCAAGTCGTTTGTGGTTTTTAGGGGTAAAAACAACCCCTTAATTAAAAGTGACAAGATATCTTTTAAAAATTATTAATATTTTATAAAATTTGGTATCTAGGGGTTTTCGGGGTCGCTGATTATTAATCTGATGTCAGATTTTCAAAATGGCGGATCCAATATGGCGGTCAAACTTTTAAAAAGTTATGAATTTTTTATTTTATATCCGCCATTTTGAATTTTGAAAATTTGACATCAGCGACCCCAAAATCCCCTAGATACCAAAAAATGTTTCCATATTTAATAACGTTTCAATTTTGTATTTCGTATGTAAACTGTCACAGACAAGTTCTAAACGTAACCTGAAACTAAGTAGTTTTTATCAGGAGTTTACGAGATATGTACGTACATTCTGCACTGCTCATAAAAGTTAGTTAACTTCCCAAAAAGTTTCACAAATTAAGTATATTTTAAACAGAATATTTAATTTACGTAACTTCTAAAATATTATTTACTTATACGTACGTTCGACTTGGGGTGAACGATGTGTACTTTTATGTATGGGGCATTCTATGTCACTGGGAGACCCCCTCTGCCCAAAAATGGTTTTAACAGAAAAATGTCTACATAGACTTAAAATTTAGCTTATTATGTTTACTTTCAAGTGCAATGTGGCACCATTCAAAATTGCAAATGGCAAATCCAATATGGCGGATAATTTACAAAAAAAATCGGAAAAAGTGTTCAAATACGCTTGAAAATTTTTACTCGAGGGTTTTTTGTGTCGCCAAATACGAATTTGACATCAGATTTTCAAAATTAACAATGGCGGATCCAATATGGCGGAAATTTTCTTTAAAAAAATTAAAAATGGGCGAATTTGATTCAAACTGGTTACTCGGGGGTTTTCGGAGTCGCTGAATAAGAATCTGACATCAGGTTTTAAAAATTCAAAATGGCGGATTCAATATGGCGGACATGAAATTTTAAAAAAGTATCAACTTTCAAGAATCTTGTTATCTGGGGGTTTTTTGGGTCGCTGATTACGAATCTGAAGTTAGATTTTCAAAATTAACAATGACGGATCCAATATGGCGGATATTTTTTTTTTTTTTTTGAAATGGACGAATTTGATTCAAACTGGTTACTGGGGGGTTTTCGGAGTCGCTGAATAAGAATCTGACATCAGATTTCAAAAATTCAAAATGGCGGATTCAATATAGCGGACATGATATTTTAAAAATGAATCAATTTTCAAGAATCTTGGTATCTGGGGTTTTCGAGGTTGGTGATTACGAGTAATTTTAATGAAAATCGATTAAAAACTAACTGAGCTGCATTGCACGGAGCTCAAAAAGTACGTTTTGAGAAAAACGCATTTAAAGTTTGCGATACAAAAAGTAGTATTTTAACTATTACTTTTGTACTCTTCCGCATATATTTTAAACCTCTTTATAATTTTTTTTATATAAAAAACTAGTCGAAAAAATTAACATTGCGACGGTCACGTGGCCTAACAATCACATGTTGTTAATGCATTACTAAAAAACGATTTTACTTGTTTTATTACAATAAATAGTTCTTTAAAAATAAAAAAATAAAATGATTTTATTTTTTTTGAGCGATTCTGCGCGTCACTATGTTCTATCACACAGTCCCCCCATCAATGTACTGAGCGAGCATCACCATGACCATATAAGGAGATGTTCGCATACTAGCGCTAGCGCGTGAGCCAATCAGCGCGTCACGTTTCTTCCTACCACTCATCTCCCCACCACTGTCTCAAACGAACCTGGGTCTGGCACGCTAGCTCGTTCATTCTTTCTGCGACAGCGATCCAGAACACTCTTTATATTCTACCGATTCTCTACGCATATTTTAATTATACATAGTCCGTCATTCCTGACCTTTCTTTCCCTTCATTTTCTTTGCCTTATTCATTTCTTTTCTTTTTTATTCTATTCATTTATTTTTTATTTCTTATTCTCCGGTTTTTTTATAGTAAGTAAGTTCTGTTTTTTATTAGTTGTAAGTTTTGTTTTTTATTAGTTGTAAGTTTTGTTTTTTATTAGTTGTAAGTTTTGTTTTTTATTAGTTGTCAGATTTTTAGTTATAAGGTTATTAGTTAAGCTTGTTTTTTTAGTTATTATATATGCCGAATAAAAGTAACATTCATGCCGATAGATGTTGTAATCCCTTTCAAGCCGTGGGTCACAAAGGTAAGTATTTGCGTAATGTTTCTGAAAATCTCAAACGAAAGTTCCCTGATATTGACGATAATGCAAAAATTTGCAATGAATGTAGAAAAAAAAGTAAGGATGCTTCAATTAACAGAACACCTTCTGACGCTTCTGAGAATGTATTGGATGCGAATCAGATGGATGTTGACCAAGATCAGAATGTTTCTGCTCAATTAAACGAAACATCGTCCAGTCTGAATCCTGAAGATGTCCGATCGAAGAGAGAAATTGAGTTGGAAAACCTGCTTAGCGATTTAAAAGAAAAATTTCAGACTTTGTCCAGACATAATCCAATGCAATTAAAAATCCTTACCGTAACACCAAAATCATGGTCTGCTAAAAAAATATCAAAAGAATTTAATTGCAGTTGGCAATTTGCCAAAAAAGCAAAAGATCTTAGAGATGCAAAAGGCATT